GGTTGTTCAAAAATTCGAGTACGATGTGTAAGTTTATAATTGTGCTTTCATAAACATATTGACAATTAGAGTCATTGTTTACTTTTCATTCAAGAGTTTCTATCAAAAAATCACATTGAATAGATGTCCTTTGGAATATTACAAATGTCAAAATAATATTCGACCAGAAATTATTGCTCGAGGTCTACTAACAAGTGGTTATTCGAGTAATCAACACAATGAAAACAATGATCCGGTCACTAAACCGATCAATGTCGAAAAGTGTTCACATGGCTCAGTAATGGATCTCACCTCACATCAACCAGCCATTGGTGGAATCAATAAAGATACGATTATTCCAATCTATTCACCTCGTTTCGATCTTCAGTGAGTGGTGATTTACACCAATTTTATTAAACAAAAAAAAAAGAAAGAAACTATTTTTCTGTTTTCAGTTACGAAGCCGCCAACCGAGCAGTAATTGCAACCGAACGATTTTTCGATGATCTTCGTCGTGATTTGGGTAATGATAAGTTCGATCATCTGTTTGCCATTCATCCAACGGCCGAAGAATTGCATGCAGCATCGAAAGCCATTGCTCATATGCGAAAATGGCAATTTTTCTCCCCGGCCATCTCCAGTGGTTTGAGTATGAGTGCTCGACTAGTGAACAATTTTAGAAAGTCGGTCAGAGAACGATTGAAAAAAATTAAATGGCCTGTGTTTGGTTCCTCGAACGAGATACTCAAAGAAGATTTTACATTTTGATATCGCCGAAAATGAGACTTAATCCGTCGGCAACAATCATATTAGTCAAGATTATTAATTGATGATGTGTCCCATAAACAAAAATTTTATATCTGTATGCCGATTTAGATGAAAGAATAAAATAAGAAGCACTGAAGGAGTTATTTTCTTTAAGATATCTTGTAATCCATTTCGTGTGGAGAATTTATTCTACTTAGTTATGATAAAAATGTGTGATTGTTCTGTTGTTGGGGTAAGGAACACGAGTAATTTATATTTTGGTTCGGTTTCTAGAGGAAATTTAACGTATGCTCTGATGAATATCGGCTGTGAGAATGACCAGCTTGATAAAAAAATGCTAGATTTTGTATTTCATAGTAATAATATCTACCAATTGATAATAAAAAGTGCTAGGATTCGGAATAAATAAATTTGAAAGAGAAAATTCGTTTGTTTAGATAAAAAAAGTAGGTAAAAATTGACCATGAAAAAAAACGTATTCTTATTTGACGTGTTGGGTTTCAAACAATTTCCTGATTGAGCTGAAAAGAGTCTGGGTGCAAGTTTCGACATTGGTTAACGGATGGTTGATAGCCACATCAAAATCCCGCATCGAAAATGAAAATTTTTTATATACTTTGTAGCATTGGTCTATTCATTAACAGTTCATTCAACTCAGTTCATGTTTTAATGAAAAATACTTGAACATGAGTCTTGTCCAGAATAAATGTCTCCTTAATAAGATAAGACTATCACAAAAAACGTAAAAAATAACCAAAAACTGAGTATTTTTATATGAATAGTACGAATAGAAAAATCTAAATATCACGAAAATCAAACAATAATTTTTCGAACAATTTACGTTGAAATTCATCAAATGTTTGTCTCTAGAACAAATATAACAATTGGCAAAATAAGCCATCATCGACTGAGTAGCTTCTCTGGAAGCTAGTCATGATTTGTCTGACATCGCTCATATATATACATTAGAAGAGGTTTCTATCGAGATAGCATGCAAAAACCCAAAGTTTTGAAAATTGTCGCTAATAGCTCAAAAGTAGTAGTACTTAGTTCCAAAACGACAGCTTATACGTCGCTCGTAAATGATAGAAATCTTGATCACAAGATATAGATTATATCTAGGATCTATGGATTACCTCTCTAACACTTAAAACTTCAAAAATAGATTTTTATTTTTTAATTATAAAGACTAACCTACAACAGTAAAAACTCACAAATTTTCATAACAACAAACTTTTTTGTTGAAACATGTCAAAATATAAAATACATGAGCACTAATGTGATGATTCTCATTTTTCACTCTGTATGATCTCTATTGGAATTTCAGTATCTCAACAAGGAAATGTTTTTAGATGCTGAAAGTTTTGGCATTTTCATATCTCACTTGGAATTACATCGAAGAAAATTTTCATTAAGATCTGAGATATCAATTGCGTACAATTGATCGTTCCTATCATGCAATGCCTCCTAGACACGACTATATCCCTTGGACTTAAAACTTCTTTCCAATCAAGGCGTCATAGCTGCTCTAAGTTGACACTCCACTTCAAATAATTAAAACAAATACTAATACAGAGACAAGATATAAAAGAACTATTGATTGTAATCTGATGACAATTTGTTTTTAGTGATTTCAAAACAGTTCTTTTCCACAAATGAGATCTAAAGACTCGCACAAAAATCCTAAATTGTGTAACTAACATTTCAAAAAATACATATTACTTTATCTGTTAATGAATAAATTAGATTTGCGGTAATTTCTATTCGAAACCCAGATGTTTCTACATTTGTACGTACACTTTTACATTTTAGAAAGTCACAATTTTGTAGAAACACTGTAAATTCATGATTATCATGTAATGATCGTACTTTAGTAAATATTATGACGATCAGTGGAAAAAAACGTGAAAACCGTGCATGAATTTCTAATTTTTGCCGAAAGCACAATTAATCACCAATTTTTTTTATAATTTACTTACCATAGATTCTCCTTAGGAAAAATGTTGAATTCAAGGTACACAAATACATAGCATTTGATGTTTGTCACTTCTAGGCTAAGAAAGAACATGATGACTTGAACTGTAGGCATTATGAAAGTGAACATTTTTATTTAGATAAAAATGAAGTAAAACCACAAGAAATTAGATGAACATTCATTGTCTGTTATTTTTCTTCTCATTGGGTTATTTAGTGGATGGATCTACACGTATCTCTGTAAGTTCAATCGGCTCTTCTTGATTGACTGACGGCAATGATGTATTCGGTGAGTTATGTTCAGATTGTAGGCGGTAATGCCCTTCTACATCATCATTATCATCCTTAGTCACACTGCATAGTTTATTTCTTAATTTTTTGTTGTGTAAGAAGATCAGTTTGAATAAAGGCACGATCATAAGTTTGCAAATAAGAAAAGCGATTGCGGGTACTTCCAAACAAAAGAGAGTGAACATAAAATTCTTGAAGATTAATTCAGGCTGCTTGACAAGTGGCTTTTGATTGTGCTTTATGTAGTATGAGCTCTTACTGAAAAAAATCGTCACTGTAGTTTGAGTCAAATGCAATGATGAGATGTATGTTTCACGTGTGACAAACATCAAATTCTTGTCCACGGTATATGTTGGATACCAAATTCCTGCAAAGTCCGAATCTGATCCACTCAGTGGTTCTGTTTGGTTTATAGCCTAGAAAATATCATTCATCTATTAAATATTTATCTACTAATCAAATAGTTTTCGTTTCTCATTGTCGAATATCATTGTCAAAATATGCGATAATAAATAAATAATTGGGCAAACTCGGTTGTGTCTGATATATATATTCTATCAGATGAATATGCAACTTTGAGAAAAGTATATAAAAAAGACGACGCTCTTTCCATGAATGATAATCTTTTGACAAGTTATCAAAAGGCTTATTTTTCATTCACCATTGTTTAATTTTCATCAAAATTTCTTCATTTTAACAGGTCCCTGGGCTTTTCAGAAACTCAACTTTCTCTTTCCAATTTATTTTGAAAACCAAGGATGATGTAGTTATCACAACTGAGATCCTGATTTTAGGCAAACATATATTCATTTGCTTTCGTTGCACAACGGAGCAACGTATGCCGACAAAGAAGAATCACACCGGTATAACTAGTTCTTCGAGTTGATATTCATAGACAAGTAGTTTGATCTACTTATTTAGCTAATTTTTCTCAGACTCTTCTTTATCATTTTTCTGTCTCGTTCAAGCTAATTGTTTGCAAAGCGGTAATTGGACAGTAGAAATATTCTCATGAGAAGTGATCATAGAAAGATCTCTATTGAGAAAAATATGATTTTTCACAAAATGAATTTATTCTGAAGAAAGATTAAAAATATCTACATGGTTCACAATTGTCTAATGTTGTGAGCATTAATCACAGCGTCCTCAACTGACTCCATAGCGAAACAAATAATCGTCGAATGATTTCTATCAATATTTGGTAGAGAGGACGATAGAACTCTAATTTCTGGTTGAAAACATGATCATCGTTGAATTTATTTTAGTCAACATACACATCCATTATTATTTATTTTCGTAACGTTTGAACAAACGAACATTATTCATCAGACAATAAAAGAACCAATTTACATATAGTCATCCACTCCAAATTCGCTTAGGTTGTATTTTTCTCTATTTCCTCTTCTTCTTTGTGCTGTTTTATTTTTCTTCTTTTTCTACAGTAAAACGGCAAAACAGCAATACTCATTGTATTAAGAGATGATCTACAAGAAAATCGAGTATACCCTATAAAAAGGCTCATGCTATGATAATTTTAACAATCACTTTTGTAATACACGCAACGAAAGAGGATGATTGAAAGCAGAGAAATCTGAAATCTCCACGCTTCTTATTGGTTTCTTCGATTTGTATGAAGAACACATTGAAAATATCTAAATGGATTTCTCCATTTAAAATATAATTTGTATTAGAAATATTAAAATGTATGATGGTTTCAAAATAGAACACTACACGTAACCCAACATTTTATTCCCCATAATCATAGCTCATATCTGTTTCCTGCTTTGCATCAAGGATCGTCTGGCTACAGACAAAGAAAATGTCGTCAGTCGTGCATGAGGCTTTCCAGTTTTGACGGAAACTATAGTGTAGTCATATAAGCAGGCATCTTTATTGATGGCTCTAGAGTGGTTGAGGCTGTGAATTGCCAGTGTAGGTCTCTATACACATAAACCACACTAATGCCTATACTCACATTCTGTAGACACAGCTGCATCTTTAAACGAATGTCATCATTCGATATATGGGACACCCGTCACAAAAGAGTTAAGGTTAATATTAAAATATATGCTCTTCAATGGCTTAAGTGTACCATCGAATCGATAGAAACTCGAGAAATCTCATAATCGAGATTTTTAACAAGAGGGTAACTTGTTCTCGATAGTGCTAATTGAGATATGAGTTATTATTAGATAGAGAAAACAATTGTATGAATAATTTTCAATGACGAGGAAATCTCTCTAGTTGTAACATTACTTTTCTATTGAGACTATTGCCATTCAATCGATCTTGGTGAATAGTGAAAAACTCACTTCTGGTTTGAATTCCTTGCTCGCTCTTGTCAAGTTGAGAGCTTTTCACTCGATTTCTCGCCTATGGATTTAACATTACTGGGAAAATCGAATGATTAAATTTCGAGTGGATATTTTCTCCACAGATAGATTGCATGGTCACTACAAGGTCCTTAGAGTTCGAAGGCAAATCGAACTCATTCTCACCAACATATTCATATTTTATAGACACACACCTGTTTAGAATTACGTTTGAAAAATAGGAACACTTTCATACGGAGAGCTTAAAACAGAACTGTCTTATTCACAATTCACTAGGACTGATTGAATTGCATTAATCTCAGGCAAAAGACGATTTCATACCTGGAAAGGTTCCCTCCTCATAAGTTGTAGAAATACGTAAAAAGTCATTTTGTATGAACTGTTTATATAAGCGCACTTGCATCTTGTTGGCTAATCAATGCTAAACGATCTTTGCAACATTGCAACACCAAGCATTAAAAGCAAAGTATCGTCTTTGAAAGGTATACATCAAACCTTTACTCTGACAAATCCCATCAATGGAATACTCAACTTATGGAAAGATTCAATGATAACATGAAGTCTTGAAACTTCCTTTTGCGGCAAGATGAAATGAACTTTTTTTACGAGATTCTTTTAGGTTCTCCAAAGCAAAGAGGATTCGATAGAAAAATCTGAGAAACTCTTATGGATTCGTAATATATCTCTCCTGTTTTGTAGGTTTCATTTGATTTTACGCATGTTTCATATATTTATTAACAATAGGAATTTTGCCCTGCAGAACTTAAGTAGGTTTTCTATTCTTTTGGGTTGAAATCATGATTAGACAGCTAGATAGGTATAAAAACTGCATACGAAATCTTCTTAGAAAATTGATCTAAATAAAATCTATGAACCTGCCAACTAGAAGTAATCTTCCCCTTACCATAGTCAGCTGTAGAGAAATGGCAGCTGTTTGAGCCAGCGTTCGATTGGAATTATAAAATACTTGACTGAATGCAAGGCCTTTCAGTGTTGAATATCCGCTCTCTTTTCCAGAGCCAGTCAAACCTATTCCTAGGCCTCCAATTGGTTTAAAATCGTCAATTATCAA